GACTGCCTCAAAAAAAAAAAAAGGAAATGGCAAACCAATATCTTTGCCAAAAAACCCCCAAAATGGGGTCATGAAGAGTCAAACACAACTGAATGACACATGTACTTATCAATATAGAATAGGTATTGTGTTTATTTGCAGACATAGCTTAGTCTGTCTACTGCTATTAAAAATGTCAGGTCCATGAAGGCAGAGACCATAGACCATAACTCATTTATCTTTTTACCTCTCTTTCCCTCCCAGCACCTAGCACCATGAGTACCTTGTACTAAGAGCATAATAAATGTTTGCTGAATGACTATGGAGATTTGGGCACAGAACACAGAACACAGAACAACGACTGGTGTTTTGCAGTTTATAAAGCGCTCCCATCTCAGAAACCTTATGAGGTACACAATGCCTGTGTTATGATCCCCATTTTATGGATGAGGTCACTGAGGCTCGGAGAGATGAAGTGACTTGCCCACAGTCACATGACAGTAAACACTGGCACCTTGATGCCATTCCAGGTCCTTTGAATCCAAGTCTGGGGCTCTTTAAGCTACCTAAATGATGTTGTTGCTCATGACGTGACAGGGGAGAGAATGTTAGAGACTCAGAGACCTTAGATTTCCATACACAAAGTAAAACACAAAAAGAGGAATCTCTATGGCATCATGAATCTCTATTTCATGCTGCTTTTTTTTTTAAAAAGTATATGATAAATCCCACACTGTCTGTCCCTGCTTGTTCTGCTCCTGCTTCCCCTCTCACCTCCACTTTCCCATCTCTTCTTTCCTTTCTTTTCGCTTCTTCCACTCCTCTCCCACCACTCCCTCCTCCCCAATAAAGTTTGTTTTGCTTTCAGCTATTGCCTCCCTGGCATTATCCTCCCTCTTACTTAATTGTACTCTGGATACCATTCCCTCCCATCTCCTCACAAGCTTGCAGCTTTGATCTTTGCCTCTCTTGATAATTTTTAATCTCTCCTTACCTGTTGGCTCCTTTCCTGCAGACTATAAAGAACTCCTGGGATCTCCCTCACCCTTAAAAACACTTTCACTTGATCTCTGAAGCTTTGATCGATATCTCTCCTCTTTTTTTCCAACTCATTGCCTCCACTTCCTTTCCTCTCAGTCATTTCTCGTCTCTTGCAAATTGACTTCTGTCCCACCGCTCACAGAAACTGCTTTCCCCAAAGTCACAAATTATCTATTTATTGCTTGACCCAATGGACTTTTTTTCTGATCCTTCTTGACCTCCCTGCAGCAATTGATACCTCTGGTTATCTCTTCCTCCTGGATACATACATATAATATATGATAAAAACTATAATAATAATTATATGTGTATAATAACAACAACCCATGGAGGCAGTGAATAGAGAGCTGGCCTTGTTCAGGAAGACTTCAAATGTTCCCTCTGATATATATTGGCTGTATCACTCTGGGCAAGTCACTTAACCTTGCAGTGTCTTCAGGGAACTCTAAGATTGTAAACTGCAGAGCAGTTAGCTCAATGTGCATTTGTGGAGGGAGTTCTCTTACCGGGAGTTCCCAATACCAACAAAGTCACAGGTCTGCTCCTAATCATAGGCATATGTTCATTATCTCTTATAGAGTTTTTTCAAAACTAGTAACATTTCATAGCATCATAGGATTGAGAACTGGAAAGAACTTTAAGGATTATCTAACCCTCGCGCCCTCATTAAAGAGGCAGCCAAGGGGCACAGTGAGAGAGTGTTGGACTCAGGATCATGAAGATTTGAGTTTGAATCCAGTCTCATACACTTACTAGCTGTGTGACCCTGGACAAATCACTTAGCCTCGGTTTGCCTCAGTTGTAAAATGGGGATAATAACAGCACCTACTTCCCAGGGTGATTGTGAGGATCATAGGAGATTACATTTGTAAAGCACTTTACAAACCTTTAAGTATTATATAAATCCTAAGCTATTATCATTATATTATTTTACAGACGATGAAACTGATGCTCAGGCAGAGAGAGTGCCTTGTCATACGGGGAGTAAGTGGCCAAGCCAGGATTCAAGCTCAGATGCTGCTTTCAAATCAGGTGTTATGTTACTCTAGACAGAGCATTCCACGACAATGGGCAGCTAGGTGGCTCAGTGGATAGAGCACTGGGCCTGGAGTCAGGAAGACTCATCTTCATGAGTTGAAATCTGGCCTCAGATACCAGCTGTGTTGCTCTGGGCAAGTCCCTTAACCCCATTTGCCTCAGTTTCATCATCTGTCCAATGAGCTGGAGAAGGAAATGGCCACCCAATTTAGTTTCTTTACCAAGAAAACCCAAAGGGGTCACAAAGAGTCTGACCGGACTGAAATGGCTCAACAATGACCTCACAATGATGCTGTGAGGGAGAGAGGGCAAGGACTAATATAGAGTGTTAGCTTTAGTAAAATTCTGGCCATCTATAAAGTGAAGCTGGATAAATGACTTCTCTCCTCCCGGGGTTTTCCTAACACTCTTCTCTCTTTACAGGTTCTCTCTGTGTGAGCCTATCAATTCCCTTGGACTCAGTTATCATCTCTACGCAGATGACTCCGTAATTTACAAATCCAGCCCTCATCTCTTTCTCTGACCCTGGATAAATCATTTAGCTTCCGCCTCGGTTTCCTTGTCTGTGTTGTTGTTCAGTTGTTTTATGACCCCATTTAGGGTTTTCTTGGCAAAGATACTGGAGTGGTTTGCTGTTTCCTTCTCCAGCTCGTTTTATAGATAAGGAAACTAAGGGTTAAGTGACTTGCCCAAGGTCACACAGTTAATAAGTATCTGAGTCTGGATTTGAACTCAGATCTTCCTGGCTCCAGGCCTGGTGCTGTATCCACTGTGCCACCTAGCTGACCTTTTTCGGTCTGTAAAATGGGGAGAATAATGGCATTCACTTCCCAAGGTTGTTGTAAGGGTCACATGAGATAATATTTATAAAGTACTTAGCATAAGGCTTGGCACTTAGCAAGCACTATGTAAATGTTAGCCATTATTGTTGATCCTGCATCTCTAACTTCTGAACATCTCCATCATTGCACAGGCCTTTCAAATTCAATATGTCAAAGCAAACTCCCCCTCCTCCCTACATTATCCCTTCCTTCTTAATTCTGTTCAGGCTATTACTATTCTTCCCCTCTCCCAGGGTCACAGTTCAGGGTATGTGGAAGGATGTAAGAAAACTAGAGAAGTAGCAAGGGGCGAGGTTATGAAGGGCTTTAACAACCAAAGAGAAGATTTTATATTTGATTGATTCTGGAGGAAATAGAGAGCCTCTGGAGTTTAATGACTAGTCAAATGGCATGGTCAAAGCTGTGCTTTAGGAAGCCCACCTTGGCAGCGGAGTGGAGGATGGACTGGAATGGGGAGAGACCTGTGGCAGGGAAGCCAACCAGAAGGCTATTAAAATAATTCAGGGGTGAGATGCTAAGAACCCGCGTGGTGTCAGAGGAGGGGTGGCAGCACATACGAGCAATGTTACAAAGGCAGAAATGGCAGGAATTAGAAACTGATTGGGTATGGTAGGTGACTGGGAGGATGGTAATGCCCTCAAAAGTAATACAGAAAATGCCCTAATCTGGTTATAGTTATCCCTTCAACAACATGGGGGTTAGGGGTGCAGCGCTGCCACCCTCTTCCCCACCATGATCTGGAAAATCCATGCAAAATTTTTTGGCCCTCTGTTTGCACCAGAGAAGAAATCTGAATTTTTCTTTTTCTTTTATGGGGTGTTTATAGTACCATATTGTAAAATTTGGGTTGATATTATACAACAATATACATACATATATTTTATGCAGTTCTGAGTTTCTAAACTTTTTGTGTGTCATCTGTGGCTTCCACAAAACTCCAAAAAAAATTCCTATTTAATTTCTTATGGCGACCAGTGATATATCGAAACCTGGGATGGAGAAAGTCCCAATGTAGAAAGGATAACTGTATTTTATCTTCAAACCAGGGGCTCTTCAAGGGCAAATGCTGTGTCTCTCCTATCGAATTGGGAATTCCCTGAGGGGCAGGGACAGGTGGTGTGGCAAGGACTGTAGTTCTCCCTAGATGAGTAATTTCTCTCCCATCAGTTTGATATTTCTCCAAGGGCAGGAGCTGTGTCCTCATAATCATGCCAGGAAACAGCTAAGTGAAAAGACTATGTCTCCCCCAGTAGACTGGGAGCTCCCCAAGGGCAGGACTTGAGTTTTCTTCATTGCACTGGAACTTCACTGAAGGTTGCAACTGTGTTACCCCTCATTAGACTTCAGAATTCTCTGAGGGCAGAGACTATGTTTTCCCCCATCATACTGAAAACTTCCTGAGGTCAAGGACCTTCCTTCTTTCCTTCTTTCCTTCATTTCTTCCTTCCTTCTTTCCTCCCCTCCTTTCTTCCTTTACTCCTTTTTTCTTCCTTCCTTCCCTTTTTCCTTCCTTCTGTACAAGGTACTGTGAAAATCCTCTTCATGCTTCATTTAATGTACATTCTACAGAAGACAACTTAAGATGGGGAGATGAAGGGAAGCATCTGTTTCAAAGGGCGATTGGCATGGCAACCAGGTGATGAGCCCAGGGAGATGGTATTAGGGCCATAGGAATTCTTAGCCAAGACCATAAATCTCAAGTGCACTGTGTTCCAGGACCAGGGTGAACTGGGATCTAGGTCACCTCTCCTTTTCTCCTTTCCCATCCCCCCATTTTCCCTTGGCAGTAGATACGATTTATGGTGCCCCTGACAGCCTATCTGTCAACTTACCCCACACAATGGAATAGAGTAGGTTAAGCCGGGGGCCTGGGCTGACACGGGACGCTCTGCCTGGGGCTCCGGCCGGCTCGCAGATCCCATACTTCTTTTGCTGTGCTTGAGTGTTTTTGGCAGGGACAGGGAGGCAGACTTGGGAAGGGGAAACACCCTGCTGGTGCCACCCACTGCTGGTGGTATAAGAAGCCAGGGGGACCACGGCTTTGTATCTTCCATTCCGGAAGCAGTTCCAGGAGCTCTCAACAAGCTTAGGGGCAGCATCATGAGTTATAGACAAGGTTCATCTTACTCCTTTCGAGCCCGCAGCAGCGGGGGAGGAGGAAGCCTGAGAGGTTCTGGAGGGGGAAGCTGCAGCATGCGGTCTTCTTCTAGCCGATTTGGATCCTCTGGGATGGGAGGAGGAGGAGGAAGATTTTCTTCAGGCAGCAGTTATGGTGGTGGTGGCGGTGGCAGTGGCGGGGGATCCTGTAGCATGCGAAGTGGAAGCAGCTCCAGTTTTGGGGGTGCCTATAGCGGTGGTGGTATGGGGGGCTCCAGCTATGGAAGTAGTGGCTACAGTAGTTCCAGGGGCTATGGTGGTGGTTCTGGGGGTTTTAGCAGTGGCTCTTATGGAGGCTTTGGTGGTGGCATGGGGGGCTTTGGAGGTGGCTTAGGGGGCAGTAGCATGGGGAGCTATGGAGGTGGCATAGGGGGTTTTGGTGGTGGCACAGGAGGAGGTGACGGCCTCTTGAATGGTGGAGAGAAGGTTACTATGCAAAACCTCAACGACAGACTGGCTTCCTACCTGGACAAGGTGCGTTCCCTGGAGGATAGCAATAGTGACCTGGAGGGAAAGATTCGAAACTGGTACGACACCCACGGTCCTAAATCAATCACAAAGAACTATTCTCACTACTATAACTCCATCAATGACCTCAAGGACCAGGTAAGTGGGAGATGATGTCTCCTTTCTCTCTCTCTGCATTCAATGTCTCACCTTGAGGTAAGAAGGAAACTAACAACTCTAGAGCTGAAGGTCCCAATGGGTGACTGCCACAGTAGTTCTCTGGGAAGTTGGTCACTAGAAGGACAAAGGACCAAGTGAGCATTATTCTTCCAGAAAGCATAGAGAAAAGGTAGAATTTTTCATGGATCTTCATAGAGAGTGTCTGTTGCTTACTAATTCATCAATCAACAAGCATTTACTCAGCATCTACTGTGTGTCATGCTCTATTAGGTACTAGAGATACACAGACAAGAAGAAAACTGTCTCTTACCCTCAAGGAGTTTGCATATTATTGGAGGAGACATGTACATAAATTCATGCAAAATATATTACAAAGTTAAAGGGGAAATTTTGGGGGTAGAAGGGACTGGCATAGAAGCTCAGAATAGCAGGAAGAACTTCAAGTTGAAGATGATGCTTGAGTGGAGTTCTGAAGAAAAAAAGAGGTAGAGGTAAGGGAATACATTCCAAGTGTGAGAAAGAGCAAATGCAAAATGCACAAGTGGTAAGGAAAGTGTCATGTGCCCCTGGGCCTCAGTTTCTTTACACATAAGACAAGAGGGTTGGACCATTGGATGTTCAAGTCCCTTCCAGGTCTAGAGCTATGCTGAGTTCCATGTCTGGCTCTATTACTCTCCTCCATACCTGACCCACACAGGAGAAGGATGGGAGATTGGACTCCATGGCTTAGACAGTGACCATACTTACCGTTGCCAGGAAGCTTATCTGTCAGAAAACTTGAATTTTATCAGAAACAAACCAGAGTCTATTCTTCCATCTCACCTCCCCTTCCTCCACGTCACATAACAGAGAAGCCCAGTCTAAGGAATTTGGTGAATTTATAGGTGTGATCCAAGATGGGGCTGTACTCCAAAGCAGACCAGGGGTCTATAGCTTAGATGCTGAGGATGAAAGTGTCCCATGCACATTTCTGTCTTGCTATTCCATTCTTGTTTGTAACCTCCCGGCAAAGGATACTTCCCCACAGTCTCCCTCTCACAAGCCTCTTTGGCTCTTAAAGGGATCTTTTTTTTCTTTGTTGGGTTAGCAGATCCAGATGCATGCACTGGCTCTCTTAATGTTGAGGGGCAACACTGGACAGAAGGTGCAGATAGGAAGGTGCAGATAGGAGGGATCCTGGGACAAAACCCAGAAGGCTAGTTATATTGATTACTCTGAACTTTTCCTGTGAAGACAGTAGAAAGAGCCTGGGCTGTTGGACTCTCCTGACCACTGGTCTACAGTTTTGCTAGGGCCCCATTTCCCTCCCAGCAATGAGATATAATGGGGAAGGAGAGGAAGAGAGGATACTTAACATTTTCCTTTCTCTCTTTCTTAGATTCTTAATGAGACATTAGACAACAACAAAGTCATCCTGGATCTCGACAACGTCCGCATGACACTTGATGACTTCAGGATGAAGTAAGACTCTGTGCAATCAGGTTGCTAGATGGGGTAATGGATAGAGTGTTGAATTTGGAGTCAAGAAGACATGAGTTCAAATCCTGCTTCACTTACTAGCTGTGTGGCCCTGGGCAAGTCATTTAATTGATTTTAGCCTTAGTTTCCTCATCTGTAAAATGGGGCTAATAATAGCGCCTACCTCCCAGGGGTGTTGTGAGGATCAAATGAGAAAACACATGTAAAGTGCTTTGCAAAACTTAAAGGACTGTAAGTGCTAGCTCTTCTTCTTCTTCTTCCACCTTCTTTTTCTCTTCTTCCTCTTCTTCCTCCTCCTTCCTTTCCCTTCTTTGTGTGCCTCCCACCATGATCCTTTTTTCCCCTAGGGCTTTTTTTTTTTTTAGGCAATTGGGGTTAAGTGACTTGCCCAGGGTCACACAGCTGGTAAAGGTCAAGTGTTTGGTCTGAGGTTGGATTGGAACTCAGGTCCTCCTGACTTCAGGGCCAGTGCTCTATCCACTAGGACTTTTCTTTAAAGATTAAAAAGGTAGAGATGATTCTGGAAGGGGAAGGCCATCAGGAAGGAGGCAGTCTCCTCTTTCCATGGTGTCTCCCAATCTATGGAGTGGAGGTCTCTGTGTTTCTTACCAGACTCTAACCTACCTGAGCCCTGTTTTGCCCATCTTCTCTGCCTATGCTGCAGGTATGAGATGGAGCTGAACCTAAGACAAGGAGTGGAAGCAGATTGCAATGGGCTGCGCTCTGTATTGGATGATCTGACCTTGTCCAGGGCTGACCTTGAGATGCAATATGAGACTCTGCAGGATGAGATGCAATCCCTGAAGAAGAACCATGAAGAGGTAGGCTCTCTGGCTCACAGCAGCACAATGAGCTGAGCTAACAGGATTTACTGGGAAGGGGAAAGAAGAAGAGGAGTATGTGGAGGCTGACTCAGGAAGGGCTCAACAGTCCCAGGAGCAAGGGATTTCAGTATCTTTCTCCCTCCAGGTAGAACTTTTGGATAAGGAGGGTAGAGAAGGTGACCCCTCAGCCCAGCCTCCTGAAATCTGCCCTAGCTAGCATAGCTAAATGTTGGCTGTCCAGTTCTACAGTCTCTGTTCGCAGAGCTCAAAAATGGGGAGAGTTAAAGGAACAAGAAAGAGGATTAGTGTCTTTATGTCCTTTTCAAACTACCCAGCCTGCCTCCTGATCTTTCTTCTTTCCTGACAGGAGATGAATGGATTAACTGGGCAGAACAGTGGTGATGTCAGTGTGGAGATGAATGCTGCTCCTGGTGTGGATCTGACCCAGGTCCTGAATAACATGCGTGAAGATTATGAGAGGCTTGTTTCTAAGAACCGCAAGGATATTGAGGATCGGTTTGAGACCCAGGTGAATGATCCATGATGTGAGAATGCCAAGCCTACACTGCAAAAGCTGGGCAGGATTGTGCTTGGGCATTCCTTAAGGCTGGAGCTGGGTAGGTTTCCTGAGTCACGGGGGAGCTAAAGTCTACCGCTCCCCTACACATTTAGGCCATAATCCAGGGGCTATTTGGTGGTGGTGGTGGGGTTCCCGATCTCTGATTTCAATGGGATAGGGATTCCCCTGTATGGAAACTCTCTCCACCGAGAAAACAGGCAGCTCCTTTATAAATTACAGTCCCTAACTTACAAAGAGCAAGCATGGCTTAGAATCAGAAAGGCCTGAGTTTGTATCTTGCCTCTGACACTTATTAGCTTAACTAACACTTGATACTTAATCACTGAACCTCTGTCATCCTCAGTTTGCAAAATGGGAATAATAATACATAGTATTATCCTCATTTGCAAAATGGAGATAATAATAACTGTGGCCCTTAGCTCGTAGGGTTAAATGAGGATTAAATGAGATTAGTGTATATAAAGTGCTTTGGAAAGAAAGAGCTCTGCAGGGTTTCCCAAAAGCCTTAGTGTAGTCTTAAGCTTTATTAGTTTAAAACTGCACTAAGACTTTTAGGATATCTTATATAAATGACTATTATTGTTGTTACTATTATTATCTTAAGACTTTCCTGGGACACCAACATGCTAAGTGTCAGGGTCATGAAGTCAGGCATATGTGTCAGAGGAGAGACTTGTACCCAGGTCTTTTTGAGGATGGCCAAGGATGGCTAGCTCTCCCTCCCCCTGCTATAATATGCTTCCTCCTTATAGCATTTCAGATATTTTAATCAGGCAACCCAGAGCTCCGAAGAGGTCCTCCCTCCCTCTCTCTCTTCAGTGCTACCCAGTCTGGCCTTAGCTCTAGCAGTGGGCACTCTAGCCCTCGTCACAACCCTGGGCCTGAAGCCAGTGACTGGCAAGTCCAATCTCCATTAAACTTCGGTTTTTACAGATGACTCAAATAAGCCAAGAAGTGACAACTAGCAGCCAGCAGATAGAGACCAGCAACAAGGAATTGACTGAAACCCGGCACAACTTCCAGAGCCTGGAGATAGAGTTACAATCCCAACTCAGCATGGTAGGTATTTTGACCACAGTCTCTGGGGGAATTTGGGAAGGAGGGATGGCCAATCCCTAGATATCAGAAGAGGTGGCTAAGCACATTCATCCTCAAACAAGCCACAAATGGTACCTTCAACTCTTAGTTTCTTATCCTGAGATCCCAATGGGCACTGCCCTGACCTTCCACTGATCCCTCCACCCTCCCACCTACCCTTCCACCCATGTTTAAGGCTCCCTTTCCACTTTCTAGAAAAATGCCCTGGAGAAGAGTCTGGAGGACCTGAAGGGGCAGTATTGTAGCCAGCTGGCCCAGATCCAGGCCCAGATCAGTGAAATGGAAGCCCAGCTGAGTGAAGTCCGAGCAGAAATAGAATGTCAGAACCAGGAGTACAGCAACCTACTGAATGTCAAGGAGCGACTACAACAGGAGATTGCTACCTACCGAGACCTGCTGGAAGAAGGACAGCAGGATGTGTAAGTGGCTCAAGAACTAACTCCATTTATTTACTCTCCCCTCCCTTACCATGCCTAGGACAGGAAGACCCCCAGGATGCCAGGTGGCTGGAAAGAGTGGAATGTCGGGGGTTTTCTCCTGTCCTTCAAGGCTCATTGTCCCCTGGGCAAGTCTGTCCCTGGTCAGATGGGATCCCTGGAGAGGAAGGGACATAAGACTGGGACAGAAGAACACATAGTTTGAAAGATTTCATGGCCTTTGGCATTAGAAGAGAACTTAAGAGATCCATCTGAGAGAAGGAGACTCATCTAACTGGTCCCAATTTATGACTCCTTTCCATCCATGTGGGAAGAACTGGCCATTGACCAGTCTTCAGCCTCAGTTGCCATGATGCTAAAACCAAGAAACTTGTAAGTAGGGAGAGTCATTGGGGTTCCTGTACTACTTCATGCATAGCCCTAGCTCTCTCCTCCAGGAAGGCCTCACTCATAAGCTCACCCTCATTTTTTCTTTTTCTCTATAGTGATTCTGGATATGGAGGAAGAAGTGGAGGTAGAGGCAGAGGTGGAGGCAGAGGTGGCAGCGGGTATGGAGGAGGAAGTGGCAGTGGAGGCGGATATGGCGGAGGTAGTGGTAGCGGAAGTGGAGGCGGCTACGGTGGCGACAGCAGCAGCGGGTACGGCGGAGGAAGCGGCAGCGGAAACGCTGGTGGAAGTGGAGGTGGCTACGGCGGTGAGAGTGGCAGCGGGTACGGTGGAGGAAGCGGAAGTGGAGGTGGATATGGTGGCGAGAGCGGCAGTGGAGGAAAAGGTGGCAGCAGTGGTGGAAGTGGAGGCGGCTATGGCGGTGAGAGTGGCAGCGGAAGCAGAGGCTCTGGAGGCGGCTCTGGAGGTGTCAAGTCCTCCCACTCTGGCTCTTCCCTTTTCCAATCCTAGAGTGGCAGTGATGATTCACAAGGTAAGAATTGAGAGGGCTTTTAAAAATGTTTGGTGACATTTCTAGTTAGTTGGGCCAGAGTAAAGTGGTCCCATTGCCTAAACTCCACGCACCCTACCTCTGAAACTCTCCTGGCCAGACACTCTCGGACAAGTGAATCCATCTGTCTGGGCCTCAGTTTCCTCATCTGTAAAATGACAGTTGGACTAAATTATCTCTAAGATCCTTTCTGGTACTAAATACTAGATCTCCTAGTGAGCTTTCTTGCTGCTTATGAGCCTTTTGTCTCCTGTGAGCCTCCTCGCCCCTTCCAAACTTTTCCTGGTCAGCTTCCTTCCCTCCTCTGAAGTCCCCTGCCCTCCCACTACCCCCATAGCCTCTTGCTGGGGCCTGGAAGCATACAAAGTCTCCTCTCCTCCCTTAACCATTTTCCTCCTATCCTTTTCCAGGGTCCCAGAAGAGAAACTAAACTTTGCAAGAAATTCCCTACTCACCTCCAGCTGAGCTACTTCTGGGTAGTCCCTGGAGGAGGTAACGGCATTCCATCTGGAGGTCAAGACCAGCAGACAATACTGAGAACATTGGCAATAGTATCCTGTGGTGGCTGAATAGATCCCACAGAAGGGTCCCTGTCTACCTGTCTGCCCACTCCTTTGGCTGCCCTGGACTCCCTTTGGCCTCCACTTCTGTTCAGAGCTGTGAGATGTCTTACTCTCTGCCCAACCTTTGTTTCCTAATAAAGCTTCCTTATTGCAAACCAGAACTTGGCTTCTGAGCACTTTGTTGGAATCTGTAACCCTATTCTTTGGATGATGATTCTTGGAAAGGGCAAGATGATGGAGGGGAGCAGAAACTGAGAAAAGGGAAATGGGACAGCATCTAGAACCAGTCACCAGGGGGCTGAACAGAATCATTCCTAGCTCATAGGAATTAGGGAGATAGGGGAACTGTACTTTGTGGGGGTGGGTGCCTTACATTGCTTTGATGCACCAGACAAATGGCCCATGAAGGAGGATGAAGTGGCTCTATCAGAGGGCCAGACACATCCCCCTTCCACACACACTCCTCCTCTGGTTGTATTGTTCCTTTTGTGACTCTTTTTCTTTCCTTCTTACCCCATCCTCACATGCTATTCCCTGTAAACCAATTTCTCTTGCACAGAAATGGTGGTGGTGGTGATGGGAGGCAGACAGCATGACCTAAATCCCTTCAGGTTTAGTTCAAATGTAGCACCTGGAACACATCTTGGATGTGGACCTCCAAAAAACTACCAGGTAATCTATGAGTCAGCAATAACTGGAAACCATAACTCATGAGCAACCACCAATGCATTTAATTTCACTGCCCAGCCAAAGAACATATCAATGCAAATAAAGGACATTTAATAAAATAGCATAGCAAATAAAGGGATAAGAAAAAGATCCCCTCTCTGGACACCTGGAGATATCCACAAGTGGGGAAAGGTACATACACAGATCTAGAACAGATTGACCACCTAGTTCAACTCCCTTATTTGACAGATAAGGAAATGGAGGCCTAATGAGCCTTCTTTATGTCAGTGACCAGGGGAGAGGGCAGGCAGCTGGCACAGTGGAGACAGGGTTGTACTCTAGGGATGGAGCAGTGGTCAAAAACTTTTCCTGGGCTTAGGTGTCTCCTCCTCCACTAGAGACAGAAACAGAAGCAAAGAGGGAGGGAAAAAGGATGAAAGGGTTTGCTGTGGCAGTCCTGTTCCTTTGGAATTCCACCTTTGACTCACCTTGGGAATGTAGACCTCAGAGATAGGAGTGTAGAGGAGACAGGCCTCACCATGACAACGTATACTTGCAGTGATGGGGCTGGTGTGGATGGGGTGGGGGTGGGACTTCTCAGCTGCTCTTACCTCTTGCTGGAAGTCAAAGGTGTGCTGGAGGCTTGGAGATCCCATTGTTAAATGTTCGGTCTGAGTATTTACATCTCAGAACTCCTCAATAACTACAAATCTGGGCTTGATTTATTGTTTTGTTGATTGCCTAGATCAACAAAGTGTTAATGATGCAAATTAAACTTAAAAGTGTGTATGCATTGCCCTTCTCTCTTCTTCTACAGCCTAGTTGTTAGACATTTACCAGCACATTTTTGCACAGCTCAGCAGGAAAGTTATAGAAGGCTAGAGGAATGAAGTCATCATCAGACTGGAGCTTGGTGAGTGCAGGCTAATAATAATGATAATAATAATGATAATAAATAATAATAATGATTTATAAAGTACTTTACTTCCATTATCTCATTTGAACCTCGCGATGCACTTGTCTGGAGTAGAAGTTATGTGTCTGTGTTGGGATTAAAAGTGGCTGGACTCTGAATCATTTATTTGGATGGAACAGGCTTTTGGAGACAGATCTCTTCAGGTAGAGAGAAGTCTTCAGAGACTAGCTGTACCATCCGGCTCCTGGAAAATGTATTCCTGGAAGACAGAATTGTTCTGGGAGGGACTGAAACTACCATTATATTTAAATCTCAGCCCAAAGTGTCAGGCTTCCTCCTGGCTGGGGGCTTGAGCCAAAGGAGAAAGAATTTTATTGATAGCGATATATTGGCTTTTATAAACTTTCCAAGAGTCTGTGTCTTCTTTCACAACAATGACTAAGAAGGTAATATGTTTTGCATGATTGGACATGTATAATCTATATCAAATTGCTTACCGTTGCAGGGAGATGGGAAGTGAGGAGGAGGGAGAGAGAAAATTTGGAGCTCAAAAATTTTAAAAACTGAATGTTAAAATCGTCTTTATATGTAACTAGGGGGAAAATACAATATTGTTAAAAAATAAAAAATAGATCTCCCAAGAGAGAAACTGAAAATATGAATCTGGGCCATTAACCCTGAGTAAACAGGGTTTAATATTTAAATTGTGGAAGAAGACTTGGTGGGTAAAGAATCTGAGATGCTTCCCTCAAGGCAGGTGCCCGAGGCAAGTTCACTACCTCTGGTCTCCTCCTGAGTAAGGGGCAGAGTGGAGGCATTAACAAAGCATAAACCACACTTGTTGGGCCTGCTTAGGGAGAAGTTAGCAAAGAGAGGCTCCACAGGCTATCCAAAGGTGAAGGATTCAATGAACAGTAAATAGCCCGTTTGCCCACGATGGTGACCACCCCCAGCTGAAGAATCTCCTTAAACACAAAACATTTATTAAGTTTGTACTACATGATAGGCACTGTTAGACATGGGGTGACTAGGAGAGATATGAAACTACACCTACCAAAAGATTACCCTTTAAGGGTGGGGCCGGGGAAGATGGGAAGACATGGACATAAATGACAAGGGACAGTGAGACATGCACACAGAAGAGGTACAAAATGCTGTGAAGACTTTGAGGATAGAGAGGTATCTTTGAGGGGGGCGGCTTCATGGAAGAGTTTGGTCTTTTTTTTTTTTTTGCTTTTAGGCAATTGGGGTTAAGTGACTTGCCCAGGGTCACACAGCTAGTAGGTGTCAAATGTTTGGTCTGAGGCCAGATTTGAACTCAGGTCCTCCTGACTCCAGGCCTAGCATTTCATCCATTACGCCCTCTAGCTTCCTCAACATGCTTAGTATGGCTGAAACTAGAATACACAAAGAGTTAATTGTATCATAAGACTTGAAAGATAGGTTGTATCAAGATTATGGAAGGGCTTTGAATGCCAAGGCTTTATTCAAGAGGCAATGGGGAGCCACTGAAGATTTTTGTACAGAGGTGAGATCTGATCATAGGGATAAATTAGGCAGAGGCATGAAGAATGGATTAGAGGGGAGACACACTTAAGATAGGACAAATGATTTTTTTTTTAGTGGTTCAGTCATTTCAGTCATGTTGAAGTCCAAGAAGAGTAACTGGGGGCTGTTATAATGGTCTAGGTGAAAGATTTGAGTAAAGGCTGTTGTAGGGAGACCCAGCCAGGCTTAATGTGCCAGGAAGCCGCCCTGAACCTGAGGGGCCACTTGGCTAGAGCTCTAAGACACCTATTAGTTCCTTCATAGTGAGTGTGAAGGGAAAGGTGTGCTGTGGAGGGAAGCATTTCTCTTAGGCCCCTGGGGCTGATACTGGGCCTTCTTCACATTTTGTTGTTTAGTTGATTAGTTGTGTCTGATCCCATTCGAGGTTTTCTTGGCAGAGATACTGGAGTGGTTGGCCATTTCCTTCTCCAGCTCATTTTACAGATGAGGAAACTGAGGCAAACAGGATTAAGTAATTTGCCCAGGGTCACACAACTAGTAAGTATCTGAGGTTGGATTTGAACTCAGGAAGATGAGTGTTGCTGACTCCAAGATCAGCACACTATCCACTGCACCACCTAGCTGCCCGTCCTTCACACTACCCCATGGGCAATGAGCTAAGTATTCATTCATTCATTCATTCATTCATTTATTTTTGGTGAGGCAATTGGGGTTAAGTGACTTGCCCAGGGTTCCACAGCTAGTAATGAGATAAATATTTAAAGGAGCTTCTGATGCCCCAGGGACATTTCTTACAGGGCCCTGCAGCCACAAACAGAGCAGGGAAACAGAGGGCAGGAAGAGGGGTAGCCAGTGATGACCACATAGAGCTCCAGCTGAGTGCCTGGGACTCTGGACAGAGCTTTTCCCACTCTTCTCATGTCACATCAAAGCAGTTGAAACAATTCGGACCAAATTCCAGGACAAAACTGGAAAAATTCTGGGGGGAGCAAGAAAAAACCAGCATCAAGACCCAGTGGGTCTGCCTCTCAGAGCTGTGTGAGCTTGAACCAATTACTTAAACTTTCTGGCCTCAGTTTCCTCATTTGTCAAATGAGAGGATTGGATTAGATGTCCTATGGGGTCCCTTCCTACTGTAAATCTGTGACCCCAGATTTACCTGCAGCCTCAGGGCTCCTGAATATTAGACAGAAAAATAGTGGGATCAGTGGTTGAGAACCTTATTTTATGTTTGAGGAAAATGTTTCTGTTTCCCTCCCTTTCCTTTCATTTTGTCTCTATCCCTCCTTTTTCTGTCTCTGATCTCTCTCTCTCTCTCTCTCTCTCTCTCTCTCTCTCTCTCTCTCTCTCTCTCTCTCTCTCTCCCCTCCCACCCCTCTGTTTTCTCTGTCAAGGAGAATGATCTTTGCATTTGAAAAGACAGAACAAAAATAGCTAGTAGGGACCTGATATCCGGGATAAGAAAGGGGACAGTAAGAGAGTGGCTAGCTTCCTTTGGTTGATTTCAAGTCACCTGGCCCAGAAGAACTATGGCCTCTGGTCCTGAAATTGAACAGTCTTGTAGACAATTGACCAGTGAGTTGGCCTTCCTGAGAAAATTCTTGAACAGTTAATTAAAGAGATGGCTAATGACATTGTAAAAACAAACAACCCTGAAAGCTATAAGAACTATGATTAATAAAATGACCATCCATAATTCCAGAGAACCAGTGATGAAACATGCTATCCAACTCCTGACCGAGAGGTGACAGATTTATGGTTCTGAGTGAGACATATATTTTTATATACACTCAATGAGGAAATTTATTTTGCTTAAGCAGGCATATTTGTTACAAGACAC